ATCAACTAGTTTCCCCCAGAAATTCTCCAAACCCAGAAAGTATTTCACGAATCAAACCATTCTCTACCACATGAGAACATACATTCATTCAGGATTCGTCTTCTACATAACAAACAAATTATTTTCCCTAGAAATTCCACGAAGATGCTTAAGCGATTTTGTTTACAGGAAACACAGATCTAGCCTAGACCTAGAAATCCTCCGAAATCAGGAGAAAACAGAGAAAATCGAGCAGAGTTAAAAACACTAACCTGGAGATTGTGAAGCTTGACATACTCCCAGACTTTCTTCACGGCGGTAGCACGAGAGAGTTCGGTTTCGCCGGAGAAAGTAGCGAGCGGCTGCGAAACGCGAACAAGCTTGAGAATCCCTTTCGCTTCTTTACCAGCTCCTGCACCGGTAGCCGCCGGAGTAGTCGCCGCCTTCGTCATCAGAACCCTGCAGGCTCCGAAAACCCTAGAAACTGTCGCCATTTCTTCTTCACACGATTCACGAGAAACAAACCAGAAGAAGAGGAAAATACTAAAACCCTAGAACAAACAACACAGAGATGAACTGGGATGCAGAGACACTCTTTGTTATTAAGAAGGAAGCTAACTCGCTTTGGGCCTTCTTAATTTTCGTAAATGGGCCTAGTTGGGCTTCAATAAAATGTTGGTTTATCGAAAAGAAAGGTAAGTACAAGGGTCGATGTGCAATTTAAGGTGATTATTTTTAATCCTAGGAAACAAAAACGTCATCGTTTTATGGTGAGCCTTCCGGTCACTTTCCTCCCTCTCATGGCGGATGCTCCGCCGTAACATCGCCGCAGTGAGTCTTCGTCTTCGCTGTGTCACCGTCACATTTCGCTTGTATGAGACCTTTTTTTCTTGGAGTTTACTTCGCTATTTATATAATGTTTATTTTTTTTCACTTGAATTTGAAAATTGAAAATTTGGGTGTATTGGTATATTCAACGATTTTTGTATGTTAGAGTTGAGAAGAAATCGATTGTTTTTTACTCGTTGATTTCAGTTGTTTACTAGAGATTTTTGTAATTTTATGGCTAAATCTTTTGAAAGTTTTGACCTTTGGAATTTTGCTTATAATGGTTCTATAATGTTGCTCTTGAATTTTGGAAGCCTATGAAACAAGAGGGACTTGAACCTTATAGAGATATAAGTATTGACATTGATGGTCTATATATATGCAAAATTCTATGAATGGTATATGAGTTTTCATCATAACTTAGAGCTTTTAAAGTTCTTGTTACTGGAAATGTGGATGTTAGTTTTGTGTGTGTTGTTGATAAGGTACAATGGTATGAACATGGTTATAAGAGGTATTAATAACTTTTGATGCGCTTCGAGTAATCCTTGTATATATTGTCATATTATTCGAGCATTTTTCTTAACAGATTTTGTGTTGATAGTAAGCTAAAGTGTAAACTATAATCATATATGGTTATTCTCTATTGCATAAGCATAGATTACCACTAGACTGATATGGTGAGTGACAATGCGTTTCACGAACTTGGTTCATCTCCATGACTTAAGAGATGGTACTTTCTTGATCCTCTCTCATTACTCTATGTTATCTTGATAAGGTAGAAATGCTTATGGTCACTTCTCTTAATAAAGTACACTAAAAACGGCAACTTGTGTAGTGTACTATCTCTCTTTCTATATATATAAAGGGAAAGAACATGATTAGATCAGATGATCTCTTGCATTCGTATGTGTACCACTACGATGATGATGTATTTAGGTCTGAGATAGCTGCAGGAGTTAGTTAGTGAATGACGTTTTAATTTCTTTGTTTTGGTTTTACTTTGGGGTTTAAGATGGTTCTTTCTTGGTGATGAAAATGACACACTTGACAAAGTAGGGAGTGACATGGATTTCTCTTGTGATGTCTTTGTTTCTTGCATCAGCTTCCACTTGAAACTAAAGTGAATCACGTTTTATTGTGTTAAGCATATCTTGTGGGCCTTATCATCCAATGATTTGCTTATCTTTCCTTTGATTTTTTCTTGCTCCTATAGCATCCCCACTTCTTCTTTTCGTGTAATTATTTTTTCGCAGCTAACGATGTGAAGTATAACAGCCATTTAAAGTTTTTTTTTTTCAATTATTTGTCATGTTTGCGTGATAGCGAAAGCTCGTTATTTTAGCATTGTTGACATAATTCTGCAGTTAAAAAGTTGTTCTTTTTGATTTTGTAAATTTAATGGGTGGTAACTCATTGCATACTTTTTGCTTTTGTGAAAAAAGTAACAAAGAGAGCTTTGGTCAGGTGTGTTTGCTTATGTCCTGTCTTTGTTAGTGTCCTTATTATTAAGCAACTTGTTTAATTCTTATCTGATAACAATTTACATCTCATCGTTTTCACTAGTTGAATGCACTTGCAGGTGACTAGTAAGACGTACAAGAGTGGACTGAACCCCACGAAGATAACAACAATCATCTCCACGGAAGAGTGGACCGAAAGTTTAGTCACTTTCTTGTCACTATTTTTTGCAAATGGGAATTAGTATATACTTGGTTTCCCTTCTTATCTCATACATAGTCTCACTGTTTATTCTCAAACTTAAAAAAGAGTATTATCATCTAGCCTATAAACAAAAGAAAGTCGTCGGATATACATCTCGGATACATAAGTAAAATCGACCAAAATTCGACGACTTTTTTCATCTTTTCTAATACTAATATTATTCCTTGGTTGCAGTGGGGGAAAAAAGCACTTTGGAGCTTCTTGGGGTTACTTAGTTTTTGCTTTTGGCTGCACTTTTACCTCAACTTCACTCGATGCAGTGCCATGTAGGCTAGGAGCCGATAACCGACCAACATCACTCCCATAACAAACACATCTACCCATAAGTTGTTCAATCCCATTGATTTGATTGCTGGAAAGTCTCCAACTCTGCACCAGACTCCCTTTGAGCACTCGTAGACGTCGTCATCAGTGTATTGAATACCCAAAAGCAGCTTGTAGCAGTAATAGCTATAGCTTAGGTACTTGAGCCATACGATGAATGGAGGGATATGCTGCACGTAATACCCACCGGCTATGAGAAACACGAGTGTAGTAACGGATGCTAACGTTGTGGCTTGCTTGATGTTCATAAGCAGAGCACCAAAGGCTAAGCCAAGACCTTGAGCAACAAGGACGGAATACAGTACAACCAGTAGTGAGAGGATAAACGTTGTGGCGTCAGGTTTAAGTCCACCCATCCAGTAGATTATGAACACAAAAGCAGTTGGAAGAGCAAGTTCCAAGGGCAGGTCCCCAACGTTTCTAGCCATGAAATAGGAGGAAAGACGGTACATTCCGGAAGACCGTTCTTTGATCAACATTCTTTTCTCTTGGGGAAATGTGAAAACCGCGTTGTATAACGGGTAGAAGCCCCAAAAGACCGAGAAGAAGAAGAGCAAAGCAGTCTGCATTCAGAATAAATATAGAAGGATGGTTAAAACACTGATGTGAGAATGCGCACTAGATGATCATTATCAAGAAGAAGTGTCTTACTCTATCTTGGATGTGAGATTTTGGAGTATGCCACCATAGAAGGCCACCAAGAAAAGCTACACTGATGACTTGGAAAATTCTAAGCTTGTTGAAAGATTCGAATCTCCTCTCTCTAACCCCTCTTTGGAGCAATACAGTGAATTGGTACCACCAACTAGTGCACCATTGTTCTGACTTGAGATTTTTTGCTGCTTCATTTGAAGAAGAGATTATTAGTGGTGTAGAAGAGAAGATGAAGATTATAACAGAACTACTTCAAAAAGCAAAAATTACCAGCAGCTTTGGTGTACTCTAAGCTATGGGAATCCGCATTGGAGAGTTCTTCTTTCAGTTTAGTAGAAATGTTCTTCTCATAAGCTGATACAAGGGTTTCTTTTACTGTCTTCTGTTCTTGTTCCGAGGTCTCCTTTTGAGAATCAGGTGGGATTCCTGCAGTTTTCCAAAGTTTTGATCAATTAAAAAATCTTTCTTTTTGTTTTTATCTAAAAGCTTGAAGTGAAAGGCGGTTTACCGTTTGCAAGGTCAAGTAAAAGGTCAGCTGGGTTAACGGTCATGGAAGTGGAGAATCCAACAGAGCTGAAATATTCCACAGCAGAAGATGCAGAGCCATAGTAGATGGGACTTCCTTCAGATAGCAAAACCACCTTGTCAAACATATGGTAGATACGGCTTGATGGCTGATGAATAGTGGTGACGACTGTTCTTCCTCCGGAAGCAAGCCGTTTGATTGTGGTCACAATGCGATGAGCAGTGGTGGAATCAAGACCTGAAGTTGGTTCATCGAGAAGAAGCAAGCTAGGATTGATCAGCATTTCTTGACCAATGCTAACTCTTTTTTTCTCCCCTCCTGATATTCCTCTGAACAGTGGTCCTCCTATCATGCTATTTGTACACCGAGTCAATCCGAGCTCAGTGATAACTCTGTCCACGTGCTCAGCCTTCTCGTCTCTGGTCAAGCTACTTGGTAGCCGTAGAAGTGCAGTAAAGAAAAGAGTCTCCCAAACAGTGAGGTGAGGGTACAGGACATCATCCTGAGCAACAAAACCTGTTCTGCGTTTGATGCTACCGGAGAAAGGCTGACCGTTGTACATGACTTTACCCGAGAAATTTTTTGAGAGACGACCCCCGAGAGCTGAAAGAAGAGTGGTTTTGCCACTACCTGATGGACCTAACATGGCTAGAATCTCTCCTGGACAAACCATCCCTGTTATCCCGTTCAGAATCGTCTTCTCTTTGCTACTCCATGATCCGAAACACTGACTTGTCTGCTCTATCTTTACCTTATACACAACCTCCTCAAACTGTACACACCAATTGCAAACTTTGTTAGAATGATGTCTAATCTTGTAGACAAGCTAGAGGAAGAAGAGAAAGGTAAAAAAAAAACTCAAACCTCAGTAGAAAATCAAAACAAGAACAGAACAAGATTTTTTCTGCAG